TGAGACCTCAGTGCACATCCTCTTCCCAGAGAAGCTGGGAGAGAGCTTGTGTTTTACTGTGAAGGGACCAAAACAGGCCCAGTGTGAGGTTCTAGCCATGTAACAGGTCGAGCTGATACCCTGCCTGCTTTTACACACAGCTAGAAATAAGRTTTTGGGGGAGAAACACAAGGTGATCCCATAAATCCCATCCACCCAGTGCCATCCGCTCCACCAGCCCGGGCAGCACTGGGGAGGGACAAAGAGAAAAATGGAAAACACTTTTCAGAAACACCCAGGGACTGTCCCTGGTGGGCAGGAACTGCTGACAGGTTTGGGTGCCGCCCTTCACCTGGATAAGTAAGAGGGGAGCAGCCGGATCTGTGTCYGCAGTCGCTGAAGGACGGCGCGAGCAGCCCCGGGAGCCCTTTGTCAGGAAAAAAACCTTTATGACTATATTTGTGCAGGCAGCTCTACGGGCTTAGACCTTTATTCTTTCAGGCTTTTAAACTAAAGGTCATTTTTTCTCTTCCCTTCCAGAGTGGGGAAAAAAAAAAATAAAAAAAGGGAGAGAGAAAAAAAAAATGAATTCCTCTTGACGCAGATCCCCTTCCCCTCTGGATGGGAGTTCAATTGTTCTTGCAAGCAAACTCCAAATCTGCCCCTYGCATTCACTTCCTTTTTCCTGCCCGAAAGGAAACAGAGATTTCTGACTGTGTGAACTGGTCCTTTATTTAAGGATACAAGAAAATAGCTAAATGCTAATTCAGTGTGGATCTATGCACTTTAGCATGCGGCCCGGCAGAACAAAAGAAAGAGAAACATGTCCCCGCCCTTCCCAGTTGAATTGTAAACTGCCCACTGGTTTGAGTATAATGGGTATTTATGAAAGTTATCCTAAAACATTTACTCGAGTCCAATGCAAACCCAGACCCCTCGGCCAGGAAGTTTTTAGCTACCAAAAATAATCACCARGCCCTGGCTAATATTTTTAACGACCATGCGTTCTTGGGAATTTCCTCTTCCCTCTGTGGAGATAAGTGATTAAACAAAATAAAGGCAGTGGCCATTTTGATAGACTGAGACGTGTCAGAGAGGAGAAATATCAACAGTTCTTTTTTTGTATCTTTTTCCTAAGTCCTGACTTCTGCATTCGCTGTCTGACTTTTAGGCTGAATTCCACTTCTCTATTATGCTGCTGAAATCCAGCGAAGTCAGCAGAAAAGCCATGAAAGTTTCCTGGGTAGGACTTTTTAAGCCGAGGTATTAAATCCACTAATGGGAGACACTTATCTCTTGCACGCCTTATTAATTTTATAAAAAGGACAACGGAGCTCTATTCAGCCGGGTGTTATTTGGCTTAATCATTTCTGTAGGGCACCATTAGTGTAACGTCCTGTCCATTTTTCGGGTCTTCTCCATGGAGACCTGCTCTGGACTTTGTCCTACACAACGAGATCAGAACCAGCCCTCGGAGTGCATTTTTCCATGCACCGAGGTTTTTCCAGGTAGAAAACTTTTAAATCGGTTGCAGGTGATTTGTTCTGCAACTGGGAAGATTTAAAAGGTCAGTTGTGACCAATTTACAGGAACCAGTTAAGGGTTGCTGGGGAAGAGATTGTTGGCTGCAGGCAGGGAAGAGGAGGAGGAGGAGGAGGAAGGTTCAGTCTTCAGGACTCTGTTGAGGATGGAACAACCCCGAAATCACCTTTGCAAGGACATGGAGTGGTAGGATAGAGAGGAAGAGCTTTAAACTGAAAGAGGAGAGATTTTTATTAGATGTTAGAGAGAAATCYTTCCCTGGGAGGGTGGGGTGRCCCTGCACAGGATGCCCAGAGAAGCTGTGGCTGTTCCATCCCTGGAAATGTCCAAGGCCAGGTTGGACAGGGCTTGGAGCAGCCTGGGATAGTGGAAAATGGGAATGGATGATCTTCAAGGTCCTTTCCAACCCAAACCAGTCTGGGATTCCATGGCCCATGGGTGTCCTCACTTGGTGGATAATTTGGTGTCACTTTTGGCAGAGAATTCAAAACGCGTATTTTGATCTTTGCTGAAAGCAGCGTTCTGCATTTAAAATTTGGACTCTGTTGCTGAAGATTAGCAAAAAAAAAAAAAAAAAAAGAATTGTTGCAGATACATCCATCTGCAGAGATGCTCCTGGTGCAGGAAAGGATGAACAGAGTGTAATTTTTGCAGTGGAAAATGTTTTCTTGTCTTTCGGTGGTGGTGGGAGCTGGCTCCAAGGCAGACACCAGGGATGTGCAGGGATCAATCCCCTCCTGCCTCAGAGAATTTGGGGAGAACAGGCAGATTTCCCATCCCAGCATTAAACTCAGGTCCCTTTCTGGTCTGTGATGGATTTTCTCCCTGTGGATTTGGAGCAAGAGAGGCCCTGCAGTGGTACCAGCAGAGAGAACGTGCAGAGCTGACCCATCCTGTGTGTCTTTCCATTGCACATGGTTTTCTCTCAGATAGGAGCCTTGCTCAAATATTTCCTGAGTGCCTGATCTCCCTCTGCAGCCAGGGGAGGATCTGTGAGTGATACAGGCTGCTCCCCCAGGACAGCACGGAGCCTTTATCTCACACCCAAGGGCAGATAAGGGAGCCCTTCACCGCGCTGTTCTGGGCTCTTTCCCCCCTCTGTCCTTCACAATCACAGCAGCAGCAAAGCACGGCCACATYCCCACCTTGGAGACCTCAGTGGTACCCCCAGACCCCGCTGCTGCAGCCCCCCAACCTTTCCTTCCTGTGTTCAACACCCCAATTTGCACAGCATTGAATCTCTGCTGTCTCACTCGCTTTCTCCCCTTCTCTTATCAGGTTTTCCTTGAGCTCTCTGTCAGCAGAGAGAGGGGAGGCTGAGCCCTCAGCAGGCTCAGATGGAGCACCCCGAGGGCTGTGTGTGCTGCTCTGCCCACCTGCACAGGGGCTGCCCCCTTTGGATCCTACAGAGCTGTCCCAAAACACTGCTGGAGCACCCACACCTGTGAGAGGGGATTAGAACCAGCTCGCTGTGCCATGAAATGTCAAATATCTAATTAATGATTTGGTAGCAATTAGCTTCTGCTTCTAATGAGCAGTTACTGATTCCAACAGGAGGGAGAGGAGCCCTTATGGATGTCAGGAGAC